GTAGCTTGGACCATAAATTTAGGGTTTTTTTTTTTATACAAATAATCTCAATTCATATTCAAAATCTAATTCAATTTTAACTCATTTTCATTATCTCCAATATTATCAATAGTTAAATAATGTCAATCGATTATTCTTACACATTACATCAACATTAATTCACTATTTATTTACTCACATAATTTTAACTGATCACCACTCCACATCCTCTCTCATACTTTTACATCAAATCAAGTTTAATTATTTTATTATAAATATTACTTCAATATAAATGCAAAATCTCACTAACTTACCATGCTACATTTTTTCAAATTAATTCTAGTTAGCCAAAGAAATCCATTGAAGGGTGGATATATTTGTATACAAGCAAGCCCTTAAACCTCTAACTGGTTAATTTATTTTAAATTTCGGTCCAATATGGCAATATCTGTCAAAATCGCAACGTTATAAACTTTTGACAAAAGTATTAAAATTCCATTTTGATGGAGTCGAGATTATATTGGTTTTTTTGCACAAGCATGATCGTTTAACATCATTAGTTTGATTATTTATTCTTTTATATTACTATTGTTTCCTTAATTATTTGCATATTAGATTTGGTAGACATCATCAACTAGTATCCTGTCATTATCTTGGCAGGCAAGTTATTTACATATGACTTTTAGGAGTTCTATTTAAATGACTCCCCTTTTATTGTTCTGCTTGGTTGATTTTGATTAAAATAAAACCTCTCGTGAGTTTTTTCTTTTTTATTCCCACTGGTTTACGCTTTCGCTACGCTAGTTAGTAACAGCAGACCAATACGATTCCTACACGATGCCGATGACATGGGTTGATAGTTAAATAAAACTTGAAAGTTGCACTAAGACGCCAAACCGAGGCGTCGGGACGCCAGGTCGCGGATTCAGCTACGGGCCTCGAAGATCTTCGGTTGGCTCTAAATATATCTCTTTATGGCGATCATACGGACCACGCATCGGACATTGGACGGGGCGGCCGCAGGGGGAATGCACCGGGGTCGCGGTCCGACACACGCTGGGCATCCCGCTCTCGGTCTACTCACACGTGGCACTGAGACGGTGATTTTGAATTGTTCGAGGTTGATTTGTTCAGCCATCCGAAACGGGGTGACGATTACTCGACCCGCGATCACCAGCGGCAGGGGTCCTTCTAGGTTGATGTTTCAGAATTCATAGATGGCTTAGACGCGACATAAATTTTGGAGAATTTTCGTCTAGCCCACATCTTCAAAAATTATGTCGCGTCTAAGCCGTCTGTGAATTCTGAAACATCAACCTAGAAGGATTATGTGTAATTATGTGTGCACTCTTTATCAAGAACTCCAAAATCTTCCTTGAAATTCTCGTTCGATCAACATCTACACTGAAGAATTTTACCAACTCCTCACGTGCGTTGATGTGCATGAGATGACGGAACAACTCTTCTCTCGTTATATTGAAGGTTTGCGTATGCCCATCTAAGATACATTAAACTTTTTCATGCCAAACTATATCTCGGGTGCGCATCAGCGACACTCTTGGTCGAACAACAATTGGCGCGATGGGAATCGATGTCCTTTGTTCCAGCAGAGTGGTCTGTCACGAACTCCACTACAACTGCAGCCCCTGAAAGAGAAGCAATAAGAGGTGTCGCACTAACTTCGGCGGCACCATGTATCGAACTAACTGTGGGAGGGCCAGCAGACGGGGCATTACCCTACTTCGCTTGTGGCGAGCTTGCCATTGCCAAACAGCATGTCGAAGGCGGGCATGTCTCAGTCCCTCTTCACGGATACACCAGAGTCACCCAAGTATGTGGGTCCGCCTGTTTTTAATGAAGAACCTCTTTGGAGGAGGAACACGTGTCCAACGACATCGGTCTGACGCTTGTTCTTTGATGCTCTTGTTTATCTCCGCGTTCATTGTCAGACAAAGCCATTCATCATCACTATATATTTGAGTCGACTTGCACTATGAGCGTATAGGGTTTCCACTTTATTATCGACTCTGGATCCTTTGGGAATGTGGTGGCCTTGGAGGTCGTCAAGAAACCTCATCTGGCAAGTGAGCCTCATTCTCATCCCTATATTCTCGTCCAGATTCAGCGGGGCAATTGCATTATGGAGAATCGACATGTTTTAGTTTCTTTTTCCATGAGTGCTAAGTATAAGGATGCGGCGTGGCATGACGTGGTTCCTATGGACGCAGGTCATCTACTCTTGGAGTGCTCATGGCTGTTGAATTGCTCGATCGTGCATGATGGTCGCTTTAACAACCATGACTTTCTTTTCGATGACGTCCACATTGTTTTTTATCCTTCGCCGCCTCGGTAATTGACTACACTAGTGCCATCACTGCTTTTATTCCTATCTCGCGCGCCTTTGTTCGAGAGATGCGAGTGGCCACGTTTGTCCTTCTCCTCATGGGTACAAATTTGAGTGAGAATGTTTTACCTCTGCAGGTTGTGCCTCTGTTGCTTCAGGAGTTTGCGGATGTATTTCTGCAGGGTTGACCACACAACTTTACACCATTGTGGGATATCCAACATCAGATTGACCTGGTGCCGGGAGCTTTGCTTCTTAATTGTCTGCACTACCAGATGAGTCTGTCAGAGCATGAAGAATTACGTCGCCAGGTGGAGGAACTGTGACGAAGTTAGGTGGTGCGCCAAGGCTTGAGTCCTTGAACCGTGCCCGCATTGTTTTTTATGAGAAGGATAGTTCGTGGCTCATGTATATGGACAGTCGTGCAATCAACAAGATCACAGTGCACTACCATTTTCCTGTTCCTTGCTTGTATGACTTACTGGATCAACTACACAGGGCTTCGGTGTTCACCAAGGTGGACAAACACAGTGGTTATCATCATATTTGCATTTGGTTGGGTCACGGGTTGAAAATAACATTTAAGATTCGCAAGGGTTTTTTTTAATGGTTGGTGATGCCTTTCGGATTATCCAATGCAACCAGTACATTTTTGCGCACCATGAACCAAGTGTTGCATGATCTTGTTATGAAGTGTGTTGTCATCTACATTGATGACATCCTTATCTATAGTACCTCGGTTGAGGAGCATTTTGTTCATCTCAGTTCGATGCTTCTGATCATACACGTCGAGGTGTTTTATGCATCCCGAAAGAAGTGCATTTTTTTGGTGGACTCCGTCTTGTTTCTCGGTTTTGTTATCTCGACAAACAAGATTCGTGTGGATAACAACAAGGTGGTACCGATTCGGGATTGGATGGCGCCCACCTCATTTACAAAGGCAAGTAGCTTTCATGGGATCGTTTATTTTTATCGACGTTTTATATCCCATTCAGTACCATCATGGCGCCTATTATAGAGGGTCTTACTTGCAAGACCATTGTGTGGACGCCTCAGGCTGCTGACACTTTTGTTCTTATTAAATGAAGTTTCCCTCGGCTCATGTTCTTTTTATGCTGGTATTTTTATGCTTATTCGAGTTGTGTGATGCATCGCGGGGATTGGCATGGTTTTAAACTAAGAGACGCGCCTCATCTCCTTCTTCAATGAGAAGTTTTCGGGTTCGCGCTTGCAATAGAGTACTATGTTATCAGTCCTATGTTGAAGTATGTGTTGTTCATTATTTGTGCCATTGTCTCTACCAACAGGAGTCTTTTCTGTTCATGAATCATGAGGCTCTACGCCACCTTGATTTGCAGAATAATATCTTAGGCCGTCATGCATCGTGGAGTCCTTTTTGCAACATTTCACATTAATCCTCAAGCATCGCTCGAAGGCCTCTAATCGTGTAATAGATACACTGAG